TAATACCCATTTAGAATAACCTCATCCTTATTTGTCAATCACGAATCAGATGAAACAAAAAATTACCAACAAAAATGAACGTCGATTGCTAATACGTCAATTTCATCTACAAATAGGAAATTCCTAACCTAATTTTATTTGTGTGTCAAGAAGCGACATACGTTTTGTCACTAAAACGACTGGTACTTCTAAATAGGTATTAAAAATACTATAGATACTTTTAAAATATACCAGGATAGAAAATACACATTTGCATTCCTTGAACATTATAAAAATGTAATATTTTAGAGACAATATTCGCAAAGATCTTTGGAAGTGTTATCAGAACGTCCTTCTAAGAAAAGATTATAGGTGCGCGCATTCCAATTCTAATACCCCATGCAAAGTATTCTTAGAATGTATTTGTTATTATTATCTGGATGTGATGCTTTTAACATTCTTGGAAAAAAACCATTAGAATAAATTATGTTAGGGATATTACCAGGATCATGAAAAAATATTCGAGATTTTTTAAAGCTTCTATATGGATATTCTTTCTGGTTACCAGTAGGTATGTTCCTTCAGAAGAATGTTATTAGGATATTCTTTCTAATTCACAAATGATTAGAGATTTTTTATTTTATAAGTAGGTTTACTATACTACAAAGCCTACAAGTCCCAAAAGAATGGAATTATTGAGTGTACGTTACTCACAAGGCCTAAGCGTTGATTGTAACTTCAAACACATCCAAGGGTCCGCAAAGAAAAAACCACAGTTCGGAAATGTGGAAATAAAAAAAAGGAAAACACCTAAAAAGAAACTCGATTGATGTGGCGGTATGGCACGTATAATAGTAGATTATATCACGAGTCAATAATGATAGCTATTAGGTACTGTATGAACCCTCAGGAAACAAAGTTTATTAATTAGGAAAAACTAATACAAAATGGACATATTTTAGAAGGTACAGTGGAAATCATTGCAATTGGCACACACTATGTAAATATCCCTCGTAATGTGTCAGATCTGACACACAGTAATAGCAAAATGCTGCACTAAATAGATTTATTGGTTAGAATTTTGACTTAATACGGGGGATTTTAAAGAGTGTGTGCCAATTGCAATGATTCCGACTGTACAGATACAGAAATCTCTCGGGGGAGCCTGGTAACACCTAGAACGCGCGTCCCCAGGTGGAGGATAACTCCTGATGTGTCATTAGTTCGCCCATTTCATACCATATGGGTTCATGCAACCTACAATCATCAAAATAATGGTCAAAAAGTCAATTTCTTCAAATGTAACTTACCATGTTTTTTGGCACCATTCGAAAGAAAATTGAATTTTACATGGCGTTATCCAAGCATTCCCTATCTAACTTGATTTGTTATGAAGTTATCCATAGAAAAGACCATTTTTTCTGACTAGGCAGTTAAAATAAACCTTTCACGCATGTCAAGTGTCAGTAAATACCGGCTATAAATGTAATTCGGTGAAAAATAACTATTTCCTGCTGTTGTTGTTGTTTTTTGGTTGGTTAGTTTTGTCACAACAAGTGTTGGGACAAGTTACGGGATTTCTTAATTTTAATGAATAACTCAATAATAAATCAAGTTAGGCATAGGAAATCCTTAAGTAACGCCATCTAAAATTCAATTTTCTTGCAAATGGTACCAAAAAACATAATAGGTGACATTTAAAAAAATTGAGTTTTCGATCATCACTGATTCCAATGTTTGTTGGTCGCCTGCACCCATATGGTGTGAAATGGGCGCACTAAATGACACATCAGGAGTTAGCCTAAATTTTCAGCTAATTATCTTCTAAATTTGGTTTATTATTTTGGAACAGTTTTCAAGAAATCTTGTTTTTCTTAAACAACTGCAGCGGCAATTGAAAACAGAAAATGTCATTTATGTCAAAAACTATAAGAGATAAGTTGACAAAACTTGGGTGGTCCAAACTCAAAATTGCATGGCCAATCGAACTATGTTGAACTAGATGCATATTTTTATTTGAAATAAGAAAGTTAGTGCTTACATTTGGTACACATTTGATCGCCCAGTTTAGGGAAACGCAAATTTTGGACATTTGTACTTTTCGAAACTGATACAATTGATAAATAAAAACAAGATAAGTCTAAGCATCACCGCACACCAACACAACACGCGACACAAGTCTAATGTGCAAGTTCCTTTAATGAGGAAGGAAGTCGGGAAAAGACACTTTTTTGCGCCGAAATTTTACAATTTCCTTTCACAGGATTTCAAGCAAAGTATGGAAACTGAAAGACTTAAAATTCTTTTCAAAAATTGGCTTCATACAAAAGAAAGTGCTGAGATAAGAAATATTTTCAATAATTCCTTAAAATTAAAATTAATAGGGTTGAAATAATTCTAAAATTACATGAGTAGGTAAAATACCCAATACCCAATTATGACCTAATACCCAATTGTGACTTCAAGAATACCGATTGTAACATTTATAATAATTGTGAAATTAAGCGTAAAAAGTAAAACTGAAAATTTAATTACAACATAAAGTAGCTTATAACCAAAAACTCGACATTAACAAGCAAAATGTACTTTGCTTCTATGCCTAATTGTTTATTTATCATTTATTGTTAGGTATTAAGATGTAGTGTATAGTGTGTTGGTGATAAATAAACCTATTATTATTATCATACATATTATTATTATAGTAGTTGCCTATGGGTGCGAAACATGATGGACGCTCACATAGAAAATCGAAAGGAGAATGATAGGTACCGCACTAAGGGATCACAAGACCAACGAGTGGATAAGCAACAACTGGGGTAGAAAAACAAAATAATGGAGTTCCTTGGGGGAACGAAAAAGAGTCGGCAGACCTCAACAACGCTGGTACGACGACATCAAGCGAACAGCAGGACTAAAACGGTACGGTCGTACAGAATAGAAATACCTGGCAAAATCTGAGAGAGGCCTATATACAGAGGATAGAGAAGGAGAAGAATAAGAAGATACAGAATCTACAAAAAATTGGTGTAACAAAAAGCCATGCACTAAAATACTTTGGTCCTCGGTAGCTTTTGAATTGAATCAGCCACTGTGCAATAGTGTTGAGTGTTGCTGAATATTATCTTTAGCCACCCAGAAAAACAGTTAGGGAACAACTTGCTGAAGATCAGGTTGGTGATATTGGACTGTCAAACCAGTGTTTATTTTCAATTTCACAGGGTTCCAATCAAAACGATTATTACGGATCGGAATCTTCGGATATGCCGCTATAGGTAGAAATAAAAATTGAAGATGATACTTAATTAAATTGAATTAGAGCATGAAGAGGAAAATTTGAGACTCATTTCCTAAACTGACTGCATAAAAAAATGACCGGAGTCAACGTCCAACGAGATGATAGTTTTTTATATTTTGAAAATTCATACAGGTTAAGACAGTTTGGCAGATGAGTATTATTCATTTAATTTTTTTTTTTTTACTAAAAAATGTTTCAGGAAAATGAAACCTCATCGACCCCAGCAAAACTCAGCTTATAATATTTATCAGTTATTTGTATAAAAAAATGAAATAATAAATCATTTTTATTGATAAAGAATATAAAGATACTTGTTCGACGTTTTGATAATAATAATTATTAAAACAAAAGTTGGAATTCGCAAATTACCTAGTCTGTAATTAGGTAGGTACCTATATACTTAGTGAGAATTTATGCCATATTAAGATAGGTACCATCTTGAAAGACTAAACAGGAAGTGCAGACTTACAAATTGTCTTTAGGCAGCTATTGGCTTATAGAAATTTATAGAATTCCTCACAGATTGCACAGAATTGGCCCATAAGTTTAATTTTACATAATATTTACATATCCCGAAAATTTAATTTGTAAACTAAATAAATATCAGGCGCGATAATTTATTGCGTTTACTTTTTAAAAAAGAAAACATTGGGAAGGCTGATAAACATCATAGGACTTTATTTTTATCATTTGGATCGTTTTAGCACTTCACTGTTAGGTTTGTTAAACAATTTTTACAAACTTTATTTAGTTTGATTGGTTGATTGCCTTCACAAGCTTTTCGAACAAAAAATAGGCGGGAGAAACGCAAAATTTTCCAAACTTTGACACAAGTTCAAGAATATTTAAACTAATGTTGAACAGTTTTGCAACCTTTTTCCTGTGACACTTCAACGGTGATGTACGGTCTGTGACACCAATGATAAAGAAAAATATAGTTCATTGCGCAGACGCAGGGTGATCTGGCTCTCCCTATAGTGGAAAGTTAGAGAGCATTTTGAACGATTTTGCATCCCTATATTAGGTAGGAAGAGCGTTTTTGGAGTTGTTCATGGCCATCTAGAGCCTAAAAATTGTATTTTCCATATGTGCAGAAGTCTAAAATCAAATAGTTCTGAACTCTAAATGAACCAAAAATGCTAATTATTACAGAAAAAATTGGTTCTGCTCTAAAAGGCAAACTAAGTATTTTTGTGTCCTTCATATTAGGTATATGTATTTACTAACAAAAATACTATGCATGAGCGAAAATATACCTACACGCCATAAAAGAAAGTTGGGTTTACTCAAAAATATATCGCTCACCGGCGACAATAGTGGCACATCTAAAAAAATTACAAAAAACGGTTAAATACGTGAAACAATTTAAAATTTGATGAAGTTTCATCCAACAATACTGGCATAAAATTATTTCAAATAATCTCTCCGAGATGGCGCTTGTGCCGCTACGGGCTGACGCGAGCTGAGCGCCTTAAGTCGCATCAACACCGGCATATTTTCAGTGTGCCATTGACTGTGCTTAGTGACGCTCCGTTAAGTTTGAGCAATAGTGACACATCTAACAGGTAGCAACATTTTGTTTCAGCATTAGTGGCACATTTTGAGTTATGCCACTATAACCTTAAGTGTTTCGGTTGTTCAAGTGAATGTGCCAGTATAGCTGGTACGTTGTCTTGATATATTTGAATTATGCCGATATTGACTGAACTTTGAATTGATTTTTCTTAGTTGTTCCGGTATATACTATTATTGGGCATAATTTTTCGTTTCTTACAATATGGATAGCAATTTGGTTAAAAAAAGTGGCAGGGGAGAGAAGATGCTGTCAATGATTGGAATAAGGTAATTTAAGAAAATTCTTATGGTGAAACATTGAATATTTACAATTAAAAATTTATAGGCTAGAAAAAATCGGGCAACCAGGGCAAGACCCACATTGTCATTGGAAAGTTAGCAGTCTCAGTGGAATCTCGAACCCCCAATTAGACATTAACAAGTCCGATTGTGGTAATTATTTTTCAATTTACTGAGTAATATCATACCACTGATGGGTGGGTATCTTTTTGCAGATGTTTTTGCTGATAACGGATCAATTATAGATCATGATAAACCAGCTTCTAGCAGCATGATGGAAGGTGAAGGTAAATAATGATTCAACAATAAATAGATAGGTTGCGATGTATAGAGATGATACATTATTTTAATCTTTTAGATGGCGTATGTAACAAAGAAAACGACGCTAACGACGATATGGACAATATTAGCCAGATTGACAACGACGACAATGTGGATATTACAGCACAACCAGCTTCTAGCAGCATGATGGAAGGTGAAGGTAAATAATGATTCAACAATAAATAGATAGGTTGCGATGCATAGAGATGATACATTTTATTCTTTTAGATGGCGTATGTAACAAAGAAAACGACGATATGGACAATATTAGCCAGATTGACAACGACGACAATGTGGATATTACAGCACAACCAGCTTCTAGCAGCATGTTGGAAGGTGAAGGTAAATAATGATTCAACAATAAATAGATAGGTTGCGATGCATAGAGATGATACATTTTATTCTTTTAGATGGCGTATGTAACAAAGAAAACGACGATATGGACAATATTAGCCAGATTGACAACGACGACAATGTGGATATTACAGCACAATGTTCTACAACTAATGGTTACCTAGCTGAAGTTTTTATTTTCTTTTGGATATTGTCATTTGTGAATTTCAGATAACGCCAAGCCGAATGACAGGAATGAAGAACCTCTATCAAGACGTTATTCTTGGGATGAGGAAGAACCCTTTTCATCAGATGACTCAGTCCAAGATCCGAATTATGACAACGGCTCAGTCCGAGATCCGAATTCTGACAACGACTCATCTTCATCATCATCAAGTTCAGACTCATCTGTTGACGATAATGAAGGTGGAACGGCCAATCCCGTGAATCTGCCAGTCGAGGCCGAGGTCGAGGCTGAAACTACAAAAAAAAGAACGAGAAAAAGAAAAGCAGTCCCATCCCAATGGAAAAAGTTCACTACCAAGCGTCTAAGAAATACTGGAAAATCATACCAAACTTTGGGAAAGGGATTAATAGTTCCAGAACGACGAATGAAACCACCGTGTGATGCTTCTAAGTGCAAACAGAAATGCAGTACCAAATTCACAGAAGAAGAAAGATTAGCCCAATTCAAAAAATACTGGGACATGGGTGATATCGTAAAACAACGTACCTATATTTTATCGCTTATTCAAGAAGTTAATCCTGCATACAGATACCCACGTAATGCCGTTGGCAGAACTACAAACCACGCATTTTTTTTTCCAAAAGATGACAAGAAATTGAGAGTTTGTAAGTATTTTTTCATAGCTACACTAGGCATTACTGGGCGCTGTATCCGAACAATAAAGATGAAAATTAAAGATTCTACTATAGCCGAAGATAACAGAGGAAAACATTTCAACCATAAAGAAGTTCCGAAGGATATTAAAGACGGTGTTCGCTCCCACATTGCGTCAATCCCAACTATTGAGAGCCATTATACACGAGCACATTCCGAAAAACTTTACATAGACGGAAGTAAGACAATTGCTCAGCTACATCGTGATTATAAAGAAGAATGCACTAATCAGGAAAAACCTTTTGCTAATCTCACTATGTATAGAAACATCTTCAACCACGAGTTCAATATAGCCTTTTTTATTCCTAAAAAGGACCAGTGCCAAGCCTGCGTATCCTATGAAAATTCAACAGAAGAAGAAAAGAAAAGGTTAGAGGAGGAACATAACGCTCACATCGAGGAGAAAATTTTAAGCAGAGAAGAAAAGGAAAACGACAAAAAGAGTACTTCTTCTTCATATCAAGTAGCGTGTTTTGATCTGCAAGCCTCTCTACCAACACCAAATGGACAAGTATCCTCTTTCTATTATAGGTCAAAACTGTCTACCTACAATTTTACTGTGTCGGATCTTACATCAAAGGGGCAAGGATTAGTAAATTGTTACATGTGGCACGAAGGTCAGGGTAAGAGAGGAGCAGTTGAAATAGGCACTTGCCTATTGCATTATTTAAAGGAAAAGGCTGCTGTGTGTAATACTGAAGATCTCGAAATAGTATTCTATTCCGATAATTGCACAGGCCAACAGAAAAACAAATTCATCATCACAGCTTACCTTTATGCCGTGGCTAATTATAAAATCAAAGCAATCACTCATAAATACCTTATTACTGGACACACCCAAAATGAAGGCGATAATGTCCATTCCTTAATTGAAAAAAGCGTCAAGAGAGCTCTTAAATCTGGCCCTATTTACACGCCGTCTCAGTATGCAGCTATAGTACAAACATCCAAAAAAACCGGCAAGCCTTTCAACGTAATAGAGATGTCTCACGAAGATTTTCATGACTTAAAGCATTTAACTGAAAAGACTACCATAAATTTTCAAAAAAATACACTGGGTGAAACTTTCAAAATTGCTGATGCTTCGATAATTAGGGTGGAGAAAAATCACTTAGACTCGTTTTTCTACAAAACGTCTTTCAAAAATACAGATTTTAAGCAAGTCCAAGTAGTGATTCATGCAAGACGTTCAAGAGCACCCCTCTCTACTTTTCCAGAGTTTGAACTGAAAAAAGCTTACGATAGTCCTATACCTATTGCTAAGAAAAAATATGATGACCTTATGTTTTTGTTAAGAACCAACGCTATTAAAAATTGTCACAGTTATTTTTATAACAGTTTAAATTTTGAGTGAAAAAAATGATTAGACGATAAGTAATACCGATTTTCTAGAAAATGTAGTTGTATTTTTAACGTAGGATACCTTTTTTTTTGTTACGTATTTTTCTTTTACAACGAAATTTTCAATAAAGCAAAAATAGCCCCTATATTTTCTTTTTATTTAAAAATAGCACACTAGTTTTCATTGCACTTTTCAGAAGATTTCATGAAAACCGTATCACTTGGTTTCAACAATAGTGGCACATCTAACAAATATCACCTTAAGAAATTTAAATAAAATAACTTAACAATTTCCGATTATTTAGCACATAAAAACACATCAATATCACAGTCAAGTTCATTTAATGATTTGGATGATTTATTACAACATGAAAAATTAGAATTGGTGAAACTTTAAATCCATTTTTCTCCATAATTTTCAATTTTGAGTTGTGCCACTATTGTCGCCGGTGAGCGATATGTACGTTGCACGAATGAGAAGGCGTTATTGAGCTGGTATATGAATAAAAAGTAGCAGTTAATATTTAAATTATTATTTTCAACAATTTGCCTTGAAATTACTCTGTTACCATCCTTGAACTTTTGTCAAAATTTTGAAAGTTTCTGAATTTTTGCGTTAATGACTGGATTAGCTGAATAGGTACCTATTAATAAAAGTCAGAACAACTTCAGGCTGAAATATTTTGAATCCCTATAAATTTTATTCTAATTCACACATTTACATTATCTAATAAATACTGATTCCCTGATTATTTTCAAACTCCCACTTACCTATACTGTTTGGAACAGATCCAAAATAAAAGCACTTGTAATAACCACCAACTACTTATTCTCTTTCACTGGAAAAAGGTATTTTATAACGCATTTCTAACACAAACAAAACAAACAAAATCCTTTGGGAAATGTTTACGATATTTTCCCAAGCCACCAACTTCGCAGTTAACAAAATAGAATCGTTAATAGTTTCTCAGTCAGAAAACTGAAGGTGTTTAGCAATTTGTTGGCTCAAGTGATTAGTTTAATTTTAACCGAAAAATTAATACATTGCTACCTGGGTTGTATGATTATATAGTTTGTGTGCTAACGTCAATTTTCAGAAACTTATAGTCATTCAGGTAAGTACTTAGGTACTTAAATACTCTTTTTTGAGGCTTTATTTTGTGTTTGCTGACACATTTGTAGTTATTTCAGCATTTTGAATCCATGCACGGAACATCTTGTATATTTATTCCAAAAAAATATATCCTAATAATTATTATCATAAATAAACAACTAAGTATATGGGTCACAACCTTGTGTCGATATTTATCTAATTTACTTGATATCCATTATTTTCCGAAACATTTCGCCAGTTCCGATCATCGTAGTTTTTGGCAAACATGCTACTGTTTTGTTTATGTTTCTCCATAATATCGGAAATTTTATCACAGAACCCTTCAAATTACGCTCAGAGGAGTATTTATAATAAAATCAAACAGGAAGATGAATTTCAGGGATTCGTTGGTTTGATTCAGCATAATAGGGATGCTACAATGGACCTTATAAGACATGAATTAACTATATTTGTACCGGTAAGAATACATTTAAATAACCGTAGAAACATCATGAAATATTAATTTAAAAGTTGTGTAGGCATAACAATTTTTGCGCTCAATCAAAATATATTGTTATTGTATTCCAAAATTCCTTCCAGACAAATTCTGCTTTTGAAAACTACCCATATCCCCTTCATTCCGATTTAGCTTTTTATCATATGGCCAACGAGTCTAGGACCTTGAAAGACCTTAAGACTATTCAGAATATTTCAACGATTGAAGACAATTTCCCAAAATTATGGATTACCAAAACCGACGAGGGTGTATTTATCAATAATGCTAAAATTATTGAGTTTAGGTCTGATTATCCTGGTAGAACTAGGAACGGAAACGATGGAAAAGATCAGGTTAGCTTGATTTTTTAAAATTATTCTGGAATGTAATATTTATGTTTAGAAAAAAAAAGGATGACCTGAAACCTTAATTGAGTAGTAAAAACTATTGAAATCACAAGAAATAATGCTATTGACGAAACAACCATATTGCATTAGTTTTTGAGATAAACCTGTCCAGGGCCGCAACTAGAACCCTCGGCAGTCGGCGCCCAAGGCAAGTCCAAATTTTGGCGCCCCTCCGCCGCCTTCTCATAAGTATAGTATCTGCCAAAGATATTTGAGATTCGTACCAAAAATTATGTTTATATTGTCAGCCGGCCTGCATTTAGTCAGGGAGCACGTATCAGGAGCCGCTTGAGTACAAGATTATATTGGTTTGAAATTATTCGGTTTAAATTGTTGTAAATAATGTTTAAAATTATTTTTTAATTTTCTCAAAAGATCTTTCAAAGATTTAATGCAAGAAATTAAGTACTTAATCAAATCCAGAACATAGCTCTTGGACTAAATTTATTCTTAACCCTTATCTGTAGAGTTTTTGCTGCGGTTTTTTTTTATCGGGGCATCGCCGACAAAGAAATTATTTTTTGTAGGAATCTCAAATATCGGTGGCGGCGACTATAACAATAATAGTTATTTGTTTTACTAGGCAGAAAAGTACAAACTGCTTGACTGGTTTCCTAGCCTCGGCTATGCCTCGGCTATGAAACACCAGCCGCGGCATTAAATCTGCTTTTCTGCCATGTAAAACATATAATTTTTTCTCCGAATGTTTAAATTCACATATGGACATCTTTTTTATATCTATTTCATTCATTATTATTATCTCCAAACGTCAAAAAAACGCCACTTTGTTAATCTCTGTCAAGATGTCAGAAATTTAATTTCTATGCTGGTAGGCAAATCCAGCAGGTTAACACCTGTCGAGGTGGTAGAAATTTAATTTCTATGCTACTTGGCAACCCCAGCGGCAGCAAAAGTACTTTTAGTGCCGCTCGTACTTTTACTGCCGCTTAACAATTCAGTTACTCCCGAGCTTACCCCATTTGTTTGGAGAAAAAATAGCGTGTTGCACACGGAGCAGAAGCACAAAAGTAAAGCTTCTACTCCTAATACAACAATATACTATTATCCAAATAATTAAATTATTTTGACAATTGTCATTGTCACTATCAATTTCAAATACCAAATTGAGTGAAATTATTACCTGGAACGTTGTGACACTGTCACTTTTAATGCCTAGGCAGTAAAAGTCCACTTTTACTGCCTAGGCAGTAAAAATACAACTTTTGGTCCTGTCAAGTATCATTAAAAGGCCGCTTTTACTGTCATTCGGAGAAAAAAGTAATTTTTTGAAGCTTTGGCTCTCCACGGACCTTCCTAGCTTGTGCCAAAAAATGCGCACTGAGTGCATACATAATTGCACTGGATTTCAAATGGAAAATAAAATCTCATAATGTGCAGTCGAATGGAATGTAAAAATTGCACTGAGTGCACCTCCGTCCTCTGTGCAACAAAAGGAAAACGCCATTATTTTATCGCGAACAGTTTTGGAACGAGTTCTCCAGACTGTCTAATTAGACTATCCAAGATGCTGTTAAACTTAAATTGACCTTTTGTTTGGACGCCATATTGCGGTGCGCGAACATAGTTGCCAAAAGAAGAAAACGAAAATGACTAGCGGGCTGTCAACATTAAAAACAAAAGTAACTAAATGATTGATTCTCGTTATCCCTTTTTGTTTGTTTACTTTCTCTCTCTGATTGATGAAAGTAAATAGGTAGATATTCTAATATTTCTATTCTGCCCAATACAAGCTAAAATTGATGGCTTTTCTTTTCAAAAACATTCGTAATAGGCGGCAAATTCAAATTTTAAATCTTATTTAGCCCGGAATTAGAAGCTCTGCAACGCCAAGATACAAATGCAGGACCTGCAAGTCTGACTTTTCGTATTACAGAAGCAGAATGCATTTGCAAGTCGCCTGCAAATTTGGTGAAACGGTTCCATAAGTCCTGTAGTCCTGTGCATAAGTCCTTGCAATCACTTTGACAACCTTTGACATTTAAAACTGGTAAATCAGTAGCGTCCAAACACTTTTTTTCGATAAATATGATGGAATTGCAGATTTTTTTCTGTAATTTGCTCGTTCCTTCAAATAAAAACCATATGCAAGTCAGCCATATTTGCAGAACTGCAAATTTGCAGATGCAAATATACTGTAATTGGGCCTTTATTCAGTAACTTTTGTTTTTAATGTTGACAGTACGCTAGTAATTTTTTTTTTCTTTTTTTGGTAACTATGTTCGCGCACCGCAATATGGCGTCCAAACAAAAGGTCAATTAGGCAATCCAATTCATCTGTCAAAACGAAAAATTCAATATGACGTGGCGGCCAGCCACGAACATGTATTTTCATCTTGGAACATGTATTTTCATCTTAGAGCAGGTAAAGCGCTGTCCTACGGACATAAGGAATAGGAACACGCCATTCTGCTATAAAACTAAAAGTGAAGCCAGTTTTTAGCAGATGTTTGTACACCAAATGACAGGTAAAGCATTGAATTAGAATTAGCTATACCGCCATTATTTTGGATCTCAAAATACCTGCAAAAAAACGGCTTCATTTTCCAACTCCATGTTCCTACTCCTCCCACCTAGGAAATTACCTGCTCTAAGATTTTCATGCATATTTTAATTATTTTGCTTCGAGTTTTGCTTGCAGCTTTGATTTCGATTTTTCAATAAAATATTTGGTTACTAGGTACGTAAACTATTAAGTCGGGCAGAAACTAGATATTTTTTCGTGTTTTTACGTCCATGTGTGGCCGCCACGCCATTTTAAATGTCACGTGGTTTGGATTGCCTAATTAAAATGTCCGCCAAGAGGCACACAAACCCTTTGTTTACTTGTCAAAGTCACGTGTTTTTGATAGGCTAGAGCTTGGACAAGGGCTAGAGTATCCAAGATGCTCTCAAACTTGAATTAAAATGTCCGCCAAGAGGCACATATCCGTTTGTTTGCTTGTCAAAGTCACATGTTTTAGATAGGCTAATACGTAAACGAACGTTAAATATTTGTCAATCCGGGGGTACGTTCAAAGACGGCAATGCTAATGCCAAAACCTACATTTCCCCTTCCACCTAATGCCGAACCACGTTAGGTCGGAGCCGAACTCGAACGCAAAATGCCAATTTTGGCTTGGCTGTAGCTTTTCCTGAACGCAGCCCTGAAGTTCTTGCTAAAATCCTAGGACCGCTAGAACTGGTTCAGAAACGGTTCCGAACCAATTCTGGTTAATCCGCGAATCTAGAACCGTAATTTTGTGAACCGGAATTTTGTGATCCGCGAACGCCATTACTTGAACTGCGCATGCGAAATAGTTTCGAACCACTTCAGAATCCTTACCGCAAACGAAGCTATTGTAAAAGTAAAAGCTGTTTACGGAAACTATGATCGGGTTAACCCGACCGCCAGCAGACGTATTTTGCCTTTTTTCAATCGTATTCATTAAGGAAAGATAGAAAACCTTCAGCTGCTGATCGGGTTAACCCGATTATAGTTTCCGTAAACGGCTAAGGGCCGAATTTATAGTGGTTACTTGACTCTTCCTTAGAGGTCGAGAGTTTAGAATGGACACTTGCTACTATCTGACAAGTTAGTCATGTTAATTCTAAACGTTCGAGGCTTCCTTAAGGTCTGAGGAAATCTCAAGGAGCGACTATAAATTCGGCCCTAAATAGAAAAGAATCAAAAGACATAATGTATGCAGTATGCAGAGGGCGCCCATGTCGCCTACAGTGCTCTTGCTCAGTTTGGTCGGATCAAAGATCGGCTCGAAGCTAATCTCTGGCTAACGAATGTTGGGCGCTACGTCATCAATACTTGAATTTATCACAGAAATTGCTGCTGCCTTTTGCACGCGCACTGTGTTTGACATAATTCATATGATTACTATCGATATTCGTATTTTTGATGGCTGACAAAGAGAGATGTAACACAAGCAATAGTTATTTACCTAACAAATGCGGATAGTGATACTTTACCGCACGCAACGGCAGCCGTTAAGTGCGGTAAAGGTACTTTCCGCATGTGTTAGGTACAAAATTTTACCTATGAGCATCTACATCTCCAAAAAAAGGAATTAATAAAATTAAATAATTGATCAGATTAATTAATGAAATTAGATTAGATTTAGAAATGATCAAAAATCCATTTTCTCAAAAAGAAAGGATTTTTAATCATAAATACCAAAGTCTACTTTACCGCATACTATGCGGTAAAGTTAACTTTACCGCACACTTTGCATTCCACTTTACCGCATACTATGCTGTAAAGTTAACTTTACCGCACACTATGCGGTAAAGTAACTTTACCGCATAGTGTGCGGTAAAGTAGAATTTGATATTTATAATCAAAAATCCTCTCTCTTTCAGAAAATGGATTTTTGATCATTTCTAAATCTTATCTAATTTCATTAATTAATCTGATTCATTAATTAAATTTATCAATGCCTTTTTTTGGAGATATAGATGCTCATAGGTAAAATTTTGTACCTAACGCATGCGGAAAGTGCCTTTACCGCCCTTAACGGCTTGACAGAACTCCGCTTCGCGTCGTTCGGTCAACTGCCGTTGCCTGCGGTAAAGTATCACTTTCTGCATTTGTTAGGTAAATAACTATTCCGTGCTACGACAAATGACGCGTCAAACCGTTGCATTTTTTTGAATTGTAAAATATGAATGCATTAAATTAGGCGCCTTCGGCGCCCCGAAACCCCGGCGCCCTAGGCGGGCGCCTAGTTCGCCACCCCCTAGTTGCGGCCCTGAACCTGTCAATTATTATTTCATTATTTTTACAGCACTAACCTTATAATTTCCTCAATTTAGATGCTCCACATTATTGATGATGTTTTAGACCCTATCGTTCGCCATCCTAAATTTCCACATACAGCCCATGATTTTCTGGTTTCAAATGAAAAATGGCATTTGGACGCTAACAAATCTGTCTCTAGCTTCTTGCATAAAGTGAGGGAAAATGAATTAAGCCATTTATACGGAATAGAAGGTTCTAATACGTACTTCATACCGGTAAGAACTGCAAAATTAACTATTAGCAACAACCCAAAAAAGAAAAAGAAATTTTCTAGGTAGATCGTGGTTTTGATACTCAAAAATTCAAAAAACTAACCAAAAACTCGATATTTGGCCACATAGTACCTGGCTACGTGTTATTTACCAGACCCACAATGAGAAGGCTAAATTATGAAACCATGGCTAACGGTCATGATATCTACATGGTATTATCTTTTGAAGAAATTGGTATACTAAAATTACAATTTTATTCGAACTTTGTGCTATGTATGATCGTAATTTTAAGGTAATAAATTGTACGTCAAAGGTAGTACAATAACCGGAACCGATGAGAACCCGAAAGGTGAAATGATGGCTGAATTATTGAACGCGAATATTCCTGTACAAAATGGCGTGGTACATTTGATTTCCGAGCCTCTGGGGATTTTTAAAAAAGTGTTAAAACCATTTCCATACTTGCCTATCATGCATAAGCTGTCTACTGATCCTGAATTGTCTACTGTGTATGATATGGGAGAAACAACAGGTATAGTCATATTCACGATAGAGTTTAAATTTTGATCGTTATTTCCACCAGTCGAAAAAAAATAAAATCCCCAGAAATCCCCAGATCTCTTCTTTTTTCCGCTGTTTCCTGGCAACTACCAAATATTGATACATGTCATTTCGATTTGACATAAAAATATCCAGATTCGGATCTTCGAATTTTGTATTTGTAAATTCGGATTTTTGTGTGAAATTGTTTCAGTTTTTTGCCGTTTTCTGCATTATTATTCTATTATATTCACAATCGGTTCTTCATGTAGTGTTTTGTGCCTTTGTGTTTCGGTGCTGCGTTTAAAACCTAGTTTTAGTTTGGATGTTTGGATTCAAGTGTTTACGCTTTTTATAACTGTTTACTTTGAAATCTTTAAGACTTTTATCTGGTTTATTTTAACGTCTTCAGGTGAGTTAAACCTAATACTCACACAATATTACGATTTTAAGTGCCGATTTTGCTATTAGCGATGACAGAAATGACAGACCATTGTCCCAGGGTTCTGGAGACTGCCCTGTTCCAGCGTCTCAGAAAATACGGTAAAATTAGCAATTTTAAATTACCATTGCCATAATTAATTTCCAATAATTTTTAGGTAACAGCAACTTGGAGATGCTTTTTTTGAAGACAAATCACTTTTTTCTTCAAGCCAGAGGGAAAGTGACAAGGTAGTCTTTTTAAATTTATAGACCGAGAGCCGAAAGGGTTTTTGACTGTATCATAGGCCCTGCGCCAAGGTTTTGGGGGCTGATAGACAACGTTATTCCCCACTTTGAATTATCGGTATGGAACCCCTAAAGTGTAGCTTTTAGGTGGGGTGACCTGTAATTAATATCCATGCCCCTGGATCATAGGCCTTGTTTTATGTCGTGAAGGTCGCCAAAGTTCGCGAACTCAATATTATGCTATATGCCAATATGGCGTCGCTTAAGGTCCGCCATACTTACCGAAATGTGCAATTTTTCCACCGTGGATAAAGATTATGGGCCCAACGATGTTTTTTTGTGATCTTTGTTAACAATTAACTGCAGAACAAATATTTCAAAACGCCATACCCTTGGGGCGTCATCAAGTGGCCGCCATATTAGGGCAAACATGTCATTTTTAGCAATGAGCATGTATATGGCGGCCACTTGGTGACGCCCCAGGAGTATGGCATTTTGAAATATTTGTTCTGCAGTTAATTGTTAACAAAGATCACAAAAGAACATCGTGGGGCCCATGATCCATATCCACGGTGGAAAAATTGCACGTTTCGGTAAGTATGGCGGGCCTTAAGTGACGCCATATTGGTATGGCATATTGAGTTCGCGGACTTTGGCGACCTCCTTGATGACATAAAACAAGAATCAGATTGGGGCCCATAATATAGGGGCATGTATATCAATTACACTTTTGAAAATTCACCCCTCCTAAAAGCTACACTTTAGGAGTGCTATACCGAGAAGCATTTTTGTATCGAGCGCCCAGTATACCGCATTCGGGTAACGTCGTATTAACCGAGGCCTGTCTCATAACGAGCGTCTGATTTCCCGATCGATTGTCAAGCTACCGTACGCTTGATACTAGTCTTCTGCGAAATTATGGATCGGCGTCCAACAATTCAGTTTTTTTTTTTTAATTGTTTATCATTTATTATGCACTGGCCAGAAAATTATATGTACCACATTGTCGGTTCCAGCGAAATACGAACTAATTTCAAGACTAAGCAGGAAGTCGAGGTAAGGGAATAAGTAAGAGCAAAATTATGTTTTATCTACATAACCTTACCTTACCATGAATAGAATACCATGGCGAGATAGAATAGGCCACTTTCACGTTTTTTCGAAAACATTTTTGAATTATTGTGTTAGCCATTCTTCCAAGGACATTATCATCTGTATACTTTTTTCTCCAAAAAAAAAACGCCTATTTTTTGAAATATGTTAGAACGATTTAAAAATCGAATTTTTAAAGCAGGTAAAAATTAACAAGATTTTGCTATTTACTTAGGCATTTGTATACCTGCAATCGTTATTTGACAAATGCGGAGATTAGATTCAGGCAGATGTAAATTAGCTATTTATGTACCAAGGGGATTATGTAGATTATAATGCCCGAAGGCGAAACTAGCCCGAGGGCCTATGGCCCGAGGGATATATTTCGCCTGAAGGGCATTATAATCTTGAAATCCCCGTGGTGCATACAATGCTTTATTTTCTACTCAACACAATGTTTTTTCATCAATTTGTTATTAACAAAATCAGTTAAACTTGTGTGACAGAATATTGTTTTGTATTTTGACATGTACCTGTACCTGTGACCTGTACCTGTACCTGCGACCTGTACATAGAAACGAAATACATTAATATATCTATAAACATCTCATAAGGCAAGGCAACGGTGGTGGTCCTGTGGGTTAACGCGCTGGACTACATGGGAAACATTGATGGTAGACCGGGTTCGAATCCTGGCTAGACCGAAAATTATTTACGGTCAGACATTTAGTGGCTGCCTAGGGTAAAGTGCAAATTAATAGAACAACAACAACAACAACAACAAAAACACCTTAAGGTATTATAAGCGGGCGTTATAGATCATAACGCCCGCTTTTGCGGGCGTTATGGATCAGGTTGTTATAGGTGTGTTAACGTATTTCGTTTCCTAGGTATTATGGATCTATAATAGTAAAGTAGAAAATAAAATTATTTATGATGCTGTCTCTAAGTAACAAAACTAACCAAAACTAACCCAAATTGGAGCTGAGCAAAAGGTTAAGGTAAGGACAGCCTTAGGGTTAGTTTGGGATAGTTTGTTAGAGACAGCATCAAATAACTAGGCAAATAGCAAAATCTTATTAATCTTTAAGTTTTTTGCTACTTTCCATTCCACTTAGTGAACTACTAGAATTAAAATTGTTTTACGATTTGACTACCAGAACCAGAACCAAAATTAAACTAATACATATTATCAAGTAGCTTGATGGTGAGGAGCCAGAAAAACTCAACAAGATATTCGAGACTGTAGGCGCGAGTCGCGAGTATCGAGCATACGGTAGTCCGAGTGATTTTCGTACTACCGTGCGCTTGATACGTGCCGAGGTCGGGTACCCCGAATGCGGGTTGCTGGACGCTCGATACAAAAATGCTACCGGAAATTCAAAGTGGGGAATAACGTTGTCTATCAGCCCCCAAGCCTTGGCGTGGGGCCTATGATACATGCAAAAACCCTTTCGGTCTGTTAATAAATATAAGCAAATAATCCTTTTGTAGAGACCAATAGTTTATGGGAACCCTGTGGCCCAGAAATTTATACAGCTTGTGTACAACCATTTCATGGTGTCACATGAAAATCAAAATCCCATAACTGTAAGTTAATAACCATAAAATTATCGTTGATTGATCATAGGAACTTTTTCGTCTTAATATCAGTAAATGTAGTTACAAGTTTTGGAAGGGGATATTTTCGAAGCGAGTGGCTTTTTTTAATTTTTAATAAATAAATTGTAATTTACTGTTTCATTGCCCTTCTAGGAGACAGCTAAGGTTTTAAAACTGAGTCACACCACTGTCTATAAATATAAGGATGGTCTAGTTCACTCTGAAATTACCTCTGTCACACGGAAGCGTAAGAAGTTGCAGACAGCTGATTCAAGGGAAAGCGTCAAACAGAGCATTCGATCAGAAATATACCAAATGTATACCGAGAGTAAGTTGATGTTCTACTTTGAACATAGAATTGTTTCAATGTTACTTCATATTAACATTACCAGATTCAAAAAGAATACACCTGATAACATTGGAACTTCTCAGATCAAATTAAACTGTTTTTAATAATTTAATACTGTTTTTTATTTCAGGTCAACACAAATTAAGATGCTGCTGCTAGGATTTCTTTCATTCTATAATTTCATGACATTTCTTAGAACCATTGTTTTCTCGATCTTCAATATAACTGAATTATTGGAGTTTTTCATAAGGATAAGTATCCATATTCTCCTCTGACGTACACAGCTTTTAGAAACTTGCAAAGCTTCTGTACCTGCATGATTCATCTTGTGTGTAGGGTTTATTGTTGTTAAAATGATTAGCATTTTGTGTTGTGATATTTCCTAGTGGTATTTGGTATCTCTAAGCATGAAAATTTCTAATTAAACTTCCTATTCAATGTATCATCTAGTATTATGCATGTTTATAATTATTTAAAGGCGTAATGTGCCATCTGCAGGTGGCCGATGCCCAAGTTCGAATTCTTGGTTAAACGCTATAGGGGGGTGGACGTCAAAAGCCTGCCGTCCACGTCCCTGTCACTTTTCCTTTTTTGTATAATTTAGCAGTTTTTGTAATCTCACAGGTAATCGATTAATTGGTAGTTGAATTCTATTATGCTTGTCTACTTGTGTCCGTTGTCTCTTGTAAGTGATGTATGTACCTGCGACCAAGCAGCACTGGAGATGGCTCAGGGCCGAAAGCGCTCTGCGGATTTTCTTAATAACCTATTGCACAGAAAACATACCCCTCTCTTCTGCAATAGTTTTTGGTCAACTATTTTTCATAATTCAATTACATGGAAAGGTTGATGTGACTGTATATTTTATTTATAAAATGTAACTACTACAATATTTGAACAAGCTTTTTTCGTTTTTAGAATTGCATGTTACCCTTAAAACTGTAAGTGATCGGTTGAAAGAAAGGGAAATTTATCACGGTTCCCAGTCAAGTTTAGGCAGAATTTTTTCCACAATTGGATTTACCTATAGAAAGGATGATCCAAGAAGAGCCCTAATGGAAAAGCCTGAGGTGAGCCATCTGAGAAGAGTTTTCCTGAAGTCCTATATGGACAACGAAGCCTTAGGTCCTGCTAAGCTTCCATATGTGTTTCTTGATGAAACATGGATTTTTTCAAATGGATCCTTAAGGAAGTCTTGGCAGGATGAGGATACTCGTTCCGTGAAGAAAATCAAGGGTGATGGTAACAGGTATGACACTGTCAGATGAGTAAGTTTAAGAAAAAAAATACGTTTTATTTTTGTAAGCTAAAAAAGATGCAATCAAGTTAATAATATTATTTACAAGGGAATTCCTAAGAGACTTATGTTATTATTTAACTAGAATAATGCAACATTGTGTTTCAGATTCATAATTTTACATGCGGGAAGACAAGATGGTTTTATCGATGGTTCCAGCCTGATTTTCAAATCAAAAACTAATTCAGGGGACTACCATGGGGAGATGAACAGCGAAAATTTTGAAAATTGGTTGCGAAATGTTCTTCTTCCCAAATTAGCGGAACCATCATCTTGGATAATACGTCCTATCATAGCAGGCTACTTGAAAAGTGGCCTGTTATGAGCTGGAAGAAAGACGAGATGCAGAGGTGGTTGGAGGCAAAGGCTATCCCTTTTGACCCAGCGTCCACAAAACCAAGCTTGTGGAACATCATCCGACAAGTCCCCAACACCAAGAAATTCTTTGTTGTGGACAATATCATTATGGAAGCGGGTCACCAGGTTTTGCGCTTACCTCCATACCATTGTCAATTCAATGCGATTGAAATGGTATGGAGTCAAGCTAAACGGTATTATGACCAGCTGATCCTTGAGCAAAAAGATGTCTTAGGGACATGGCAGAAGGCGCTGGATAATGTGTCCAAAGACCAATGGGCTCATTATGTAAAACACACGCATGAGGTAATTAGGGCCGCATATGACAAGGAAAAAAATATAATATTTCCTGTGAGCAAAGTGCAGCCCCTAATTATAAACTTCGACTCTGACTCGACTAGTGATAGTGAATAGTACAAACCCTGGTATAATTTTCTCATTATTCACCTATTCAATTTATCCATTGACTCGTTTTATTCCAGGAACTGCCTCGTTTTCATTTATAGAAATTAAGATTGTTCCTGTTCTATGCCTTTTGAAAGAGAACCCCACAAACCCTGGTATAATTTTCCATTATTCAATTAATAATCATTAATTCGTTTTATTTCAGAAATTTTCTCGTTTATTTTTAGAAATTAAGATATCTTAATCGTACTTATTTTTGAAGCTTTTTTGCCAACCTCAGGAGAATTCTGGATGCATGGAATGCTTCTGTTTCTGGTTGACACGTTTCTATATCATTGAAACAAGACCTAAAATAATCAATGTTCATAATTAAAGTTTAAAAATAATAAATTTGTTTTATTTCCAAAGCCACGTGTTCCTTATAACCTGTCTAATTGATTTTTTGTTCTTGAAAAGAAATGCCGAAAATTACATAGAATTGATGTTTATTATTACTATGCAGGATTTTAATAACTTAACTTCCCCTAAAGAAATTGATAATAAATTCTCATTCTGAAATGTAAATTAATTTTCTAAATACGGCCCTGTCGTTTATCCCACCTCGGAATCGAAGCGCTAACAAATGCTGGCAACCTACAGAAAAAAATTACTAGGATTGTCAAAGTGAACTGTCAACTTTTTTTTCTATCGTGAATTTGACCATACCTATAATAATACAAATTATAACGTAATTTTTTTGAAATTAGCACACAGAATCAGTTTGGAGGCATAAGGGTTATGAAAGCATTATTTGATGACAATTTCTTGCATATTGGAGTTGTGCATCTGTTAGATTGTTTTAAGCGTTGCAGAAAAATTAAAGCAATTGCCGACATTCAAATTTCATTATTCTTAAGTTACTTTTTTTTACTTTATTAGCTAAAGATATGCTTATTAATTTTTCAAAACTTTCCAGGTTTCAACAAAATCTTCACAACTAACAATTTGAGTTTCACTTACTTCGTCGCGCAAGATTTCGCATGGCGACAAATCAAGAAAAAAGGTCTAAGTTTTTCCGGAACTGACGTAGACCTACTTAAAAGACATTTAATAATATCCGAAGTACCTTACACAATGGAAAGTCTTTTGTCATTATCGAGCGGCAGAAATTACACGTAAGTACCCGATAATCTGAAAACAATGAACATTAATTTAATGATTTAATAATTATTTTCGTAGGCATGTGGAATTGAAAACGGTGGGAGGTTTTCTAAGATTTGTGGTGCTTCTAATTGAAGATTCTTATTTTATTCGATGGAATAAAATGTACATTAAAGTGTTACGGTCAAATTATGAATGTAGCGATGGACTTGTGCATATTTTGGCTGGGCCTATTGCAATTTTAAATTGAATTTAATGTCACGTTTTATGTATTAGAAGTTGTAAGTTGCGAGAAATGGTTTATTACACAGACGAGAGCTGTGTAATGCCGGCAGTGCTCGAGTCATCTGTAGGTATGATGTATTTACTCATCAATGGAAAAATTGTAGATGCCAATTTCAAAAAAATATCAGATAACCTTTGGAAATTATTTTTTTTTTTAGTTTTAAGCTCCTGTCTTCACATAGTTTGTTACCAATGCCTTAACATAAAAGTCATAAAAACAGAAAACTAAAACGAACATAATTTTAGACAACAAATATATATAAAATTTGGCAAAAATAGTTTCATATTCAAACTCTTATATTTCTATACCGACTCAGGGATGGAAGAACTTTGAAAAGTAATGGAAGTCTTAAATCTGGTACAATGTGACGTAATTGAAAAACTCAATAAGAAATATGAAAGAATAGGCTATAATCCTTCAAGAAAAGAGTAATTGAATTTGCTCACTAACGCTAAATCATCTTCAATAGCCTACTACGTGTTTACCGCATAGAATAATCATTAATTGTTTTGCGTCACAATAGCCAAATGCAAATAAATCAATTAAACCAATCAGTAATTGACGAGCGAAAAGAATTTAAATTTACTTACGTCTTTCACTTTTTGTGCCTGGAACAAATAACAGTAGAGCAAATTGTCGTTGTCGTCCCGTAATAGGTAAAGGAACGTGCAGGCATCAATATCAGCTTGCGAAAATCGTGTAATTTGATTGATTCTGTGTGAGAATTGTAGTTCAAAGTCCATGTTGTAGGCTTGGAGGATGCCGTCTTCCACTCCTACACTTAACTGAAAAAAAAACATCCATTAATCGTCTATATAGGTATTAAAGAGAGCTTTTTTTCTATTTAACATGCACGAGTGCAGATTTGTCACAAAATATGTATGTATAGGTACTATCAATGATTGTAACTTTTGGCCTCGTGGAGTGGTTTTTAAGGAATTTCAATTTAGACCACGGCAGTCTAGAAATGAGGGAGTGAAGCTGGATTCACAATTGAATGGCAGGCAAGATAGAACACCTCGAAATGATCGACCATCAAATTTTGTTCAGGAGACGCATATTCTGGCAACAGGGTAGCTCTAACAGGCTACTATCAAAATGTGCGGGGGTTGAGAACCAAACTAACCACCCTTATGTGCAATATTTCCACGGAAAACTATGATTTTGTGTTATTTACTGAGACTTTTCTGAACAAAGACATTTTGTCGAGCGAATTGGGAATGAGTAATTACTTAATATTTCGCTGTGATCGTTCTGATAGAACCAGTGTCCATAAGTCACAAGGGGGTGTTATGGTTGCAGTGAGGAAGTCACTTAATTGTAGACAGATATCTACTCAATTTGAATCAGTGGAACACATTTTTGTACTGGTTTCTTTGAAAAGGCATCATATTTTGTTGGGCAATGCTTATCTACCCCCAGATTCTCCTATGGATACCTATGAAAGTTACTGCTCATCCGTAACAGCTACGTTGGAAATATGTAGTAGTTGTCAAAACTTGGTATTTTATTTATGTGGAGTTTTTAATAGACCGGATGTATCCTGGATCAATGATTTGCATGGGACTAGGGCTATTGGTAAACAATCTGAACAAACTACAGAGTTGGCTGACTGCATGGCTTTCCACAGCTTGTATCAAGTGAATAATATTTCTAATATTTATGGGAACTTTCTGGATTTGATATTTTGTAGTAATAAAGATGTATGTAAAGTTTGTTTCGCCAGGGTTTGTACTTGCCACCAGCATCTACCTTCCTTGTTTAACAAATAAAAATTGACTGAAATAAATCAATGACGTCAAAAACGTTTATCGGTTCTTAACCAAAAGTCATTCATTTTAATTTGTCAAAAAAATTGCATGTGTCATATGAATCAATCTACGACAACCCTTTTTTTTCAAGTTTCAAGGTCAAGTATGAACCCTGGTAAAGCAAACCTTACCTCAATATCAGACGATCCACTTTTGAATTTGGACACACCTCATCCTGCTTTGGTTTTTGATGTATTGATTTCAAATATTAATTCTAATAAGTTGGAGTATGATTATTGTTTTCTAGATTATAAGAATTGTAATTTTAGGGATTTAAATATTTATCTGTCTTGTGTGGATTGGGACTCTTTTGTTGATATGGATGATATAAACTCTGCTGTCGAAACTTTCTATAATCAAATTTATCATGCTATTGAGATCTTTACACCCATTTCAAAAAGAAAAACAGCAAAATTTCTAAGATGGATGGATAATCATTTAAAATATTTAATTTTGTCTAAAAAAAAGGCACATCAAAACTATAAAAATACCATGTCCGCTCAGGATTATAGAGTTTTTTCAAACATTAGGAAAGAATGTAAAATTTATTCTCATATCAGCCATGGGAATTTCATTGAGAAAATCGAGTCCGAGACACAGGACAGAAATGGATTTTGGAGATATGTACGATCGAAAAATGAAAATCGTGGATATCCCAGTTCTATGTTTTTTGATGAGCATGAAGGTAGCACACCTCATGAAATTGTCAATATCTTTAAGGATAGTTTTTATACTGAAATGAGTGTTGAGAGTGATCGAAACATTCCTGTCTCTAATTTATCTAGTTTGTCTAATTGCAGTATCAGTTCAGTGCAAATTACCCCTCTTGATATATTTAACAAGATACATTCATTGAAGCATGGATTGGGTTGTGGTCCAGATGACATCCCAGTATTGTTTGTTAAGAATTGTAGTTGTATTCTTTCAGAGATATTATGTAAAATATTCAATAAGGCTTTAGAGTTGGGACGGTTTCCTGATATGTGGAAATTAAGCTATATAACTCCTGTGTTTAAGAGTGGAGAAAGAAATAATATTAAAAACTATAGGGCCATATCCAAAATGTCTATTTTTTCTAAGGTATTTGAGTCTATAATAACGGATTTTCTTACACCAATTTTGAAACATGTTATTGTACCAGAACAGCATGGCTTTATTAAGGGTAGATCTACATTGACTAATCTTCTGGTCTATGAGGAGGCTCTGTTGGAGGGGTTGGAGAATAAGTGTCAGATTGACTCGGTCTACACTGACTTCTCCAAGGCCTTTGACAGGGTTGACCATAAGATACTATTGGAGAAGGTGGCCGATGTGGGGCTGCATGGAGGTCTATTGAGCTTGATTGGAAGTCTTCTCACAGGTAGAAGGCAGGCTGTAAAGATTGAGAATTACATCTCTTCAGTATTTTCGGTGACCTCGGGGGTGCCTCAGCGAGGACACCTGTCTCTTTTGCTTTTTAGTATATTTCCGATTTTTTGCTCTTGGCTGATGACTTGAAGTGTTTTATGGTTGTTCGGGATGTCAGGGATGCTCAATTATTGCAAGTGGACTTGGATATGTTTCGGAGTTGGTGTCAAAGAAACAAACTCCCCTTAAATGTTGAGAAGTGTAAGATTATTACTTTTTCTCGGAAAAAAACACCATACTTACATAATTACGTTCTTAATGATTTGGTGATTCACAGGGTTGAAACTATTAGAGACCTGGGAGTCTATTTCAACACAAATGTAAGCTTCACAGAGCACATTGAAATAACTGCTAATAAAGCAATGACATTACTAGGCTTTATGTTCAGGTCACTAAAAGAATTCACTAATATCTACACCCTAAGAAACATTTATTGTGCAATTGTTAGATCAGTTGTAGAATATGCTTGCCCTGTCTGGTCCCCTTATTATGCTGTGCACATCTCCCACTTGGAACGAATCCAAAAAAAGTTTTTAAGATCCATTGCATATCGATTGGGCATCCCAAGTGAATTTATAAATTATAATGAGTTAATGTCTGTCCTAAATCTTGAAAATCTGAACCAGAGGCGACAGTTTTTTGATATGTGTACTTTGTTTAAGATTGATTGATTCATTAATAATTCTATTGATTCTCCAGACTTACTTGCTAGATTTGGCTCACATATACCATCTAGCAATTTAAGAGGAAACACATTGTTTAACCTTGATTTTCGTAGAACCAATTATGGTTACCATTCACCTTTACTTAGAAGCTGTCGTTCTCTGAATGATATTATTTTGAAGACTGATTTGGATGTTTTTAACATAAGTTTGGATAGATTCAAAAGAATTTTAAAGTCGATCCTTAAATGATCGTTTTTTGTATTTGTTTTCAATTTTAAGCGTATTATGTTGTTGTTTGTGTTTTGATACCTACTACAAAATATTTGTTTAGGCTTATGTAATGTTGTTTTTTATACTAATTTGTCTGTTGCCTACTTGTTATTCCAAATATTTATTATTGCGTGTACCTACACTTTAAGTCTACCTTTGTAAAAATGGCATGTCCGTAAATAAAGAATTTATTTATTTATTTATTTTATTTATTTGGAGTGCGTTCGAAATCACCCTGGGGCATCACACCGAGTGCACACCAGTTATGAATTATACATGGCTGGTGTGCACTCGGTGTGACGCCCAAGGTGAATTCGAACGCACCCTTGAAGTTTTAAAAATGTGTCAGCCTGACATATTTAACTGATATCTGTTCAATTTACGAGGGCTTTTTCATAAATACTGATTATTTTTAAGAAAATTAATTTTACCACTATCTGGAATTCGTTTGTAGGAAGGTATGATAAAGAAAAACCGTGTAAAACATCCTCAAAAATCGATTGAACATATCTTAATTATACCGTTCCATTTGAAAATTTCAAGAAAAATTGGAAACATTCAATGGTTTTCAAATATTGACCCATAACGTCAGTCCTACTAACCAGAATTTAAATTTTTCACAACAAAATTAAAGAGCAGACTCTTATCTTTCCAACAAACCCGAGATCGACCAGATTCGTTGAGTCGTTTTGAAGTTATCCGCTTTCTTGAGTTGCAATATTTGACAGCTCATAACTATCTTATCCGATAAGTTATGGTAAAAAGTCATGAATCAAAATTGTGTGAAATTTCATCAAAAATTTATTGCTAGCATTTCCAAGATACGTTTCCATTTGAAATTTCAAAAATAAAACCATTTTTGAACTTTGACAGTTGGGTTACGCCCCCTTACGGTCATTTTAGAAAGCTGAAATATATTTCCAGCATTTTCTCTAGGCCATATTTATGGGATAATTTTTTTCCGACAAGACTACGATGAATAGTTTTTGAGATATGGCCGAGTGCCATTCTTAATGAATCACCCTGTACATGGATATTTTGGAACGACTTCATCCTTGTGCTATAAAGTTACTCCATGAAGGAGTACCTACCTATCACCAAATGATCAAGATATATACTTGCTCAAATTTCACCTGATAAAATCTGACACTCAGTACTTGTCATTCATTTATCAAGTTTCAAATAATCGACAATGGCTAGCAGTGCGTCGAAGCTCAAATCCTTTTCTAGATCGATCAGTGATGTTTACACCGATGAATTGGAGAAATGTTCTATTTTGCACCCGAAGAATGTTAAAAAATTCTTCAGGGATCAGGCGAAATATGTTGCAAGGCTCGCTACTGACGACGTTAAGATAGTTTTTGGGAATGTGGAGTCTGTAGAAGAGTTAATGTAAGGAGATTCCTAAAAAACACTATTCATAAGTAGTTTTCTTATTTTTTTTTTTAACATTCATATTTGACTCAGCAACTAAGTATTTACGTTAAATTTAACTTATGTATAAACACTACATAATAAATTAAAATAAAGTCATGAATCAAGTTAAATGCTAAATTAAGTCTAAGTGAGTGTCTTGGTCATGATCATAAATTAATATTCATGACATTATGTTCAACTAAAATGTATTATGTTGCAGTGCACTCAAATATCATTTTGGGACTCTTATTCAGAGGTAAAATAATATGGGGTTTGTCAATTAGTACTACAATTACTTGTATGTATGTATTAATTAAATCACGTTTGAAGCTTCTTTATGACCGTATAATTTTATGAGATTTGCTTCATCAGGATTCAAGAGAATCGAAAGCCCCAAAAAACTTAAATAATTTCTATCACATACTTCAAAAAAATTAACTTTTCAGCATGACGTGCTATGCAACGTTTGGCATTGAGGACGATCAGAACGAATTGGCAGGAGCCATCATATTTCACGATTGTCCGAATATATCAGCTTTGCCAACAGTTGACTGGGAGTACTGGCTACACGCCTTATACGGGGTTCAGGATGCTGACATCAGAAACACTTTTTGGATTCACTATTTCGCCTATGACGTACGATACGAGATGCTATTTGCGTATCATATAATACAACATATTTTCAAATTCTTCAAAGCTATAGAATTTTTATATTTGGTACTGCCTCCTGGTGTCACTAAAATTGATTGCTTAGAAGAATTTGCTGAAAGGCTTTTACCAAGAGGTAATAGATAATTCAATTTTGTTATAGTAGGTATTTAATTTTTGCATTATTTTTTCCTGTAGATTGTAAAAATCCAAACAATACCCAATCTCTATACAGAATCTGTAATAGATCAGTAACCCTCAAATATAAAATAAGGCGAGCTGTAGAAGAAGATAATGATGACTTGGTAGCATTAATAGATATGCATTCTGAAAGACTTAAGGATCTTTATGGAGAATTTTATATTGCTGAAATATTAACCACTCACAAAGACTCAGGTATTTTTTGATGAAAATCAAAATGAAAATTATTTTCTATCTTCCCGCAGAATAATGAATATTGAGAAACTAATGCAAGCGCATTTCTATTTTTAATATTAAGCAATATTTATGGAGGTATTGATTTAGCCGATACTTGATAGAAATCCATTACACATTTTGAAAGAAAACAAAAAAGTTTCTAGATTCACAAAATTTGATTTTTATGATGCGGTATCATTTTTCAGTCACCCGGTGGCATTTAGCCATTCCACTATAGATTTCGGAACCTGCTTCAATTTTGATTGGTCCATTTTGGGTGCAATTGTAGAAGGTGCGGAATTACGTAGTAGATTGTTAGAGTGGTGCCCAAAACGAGAGTGCAATGTCATATGCTTCAGTAGGTAGTTGATTTATTTCAAGCTGCCGTCAATACTAAAGGCCAAAACGTGGTGCTCAATGTGATAATGCATTGTGAGACCGGTGCTGAATCGCGAAGTGGACTGTAGAAATAATTGGAGGGAGGTTATCTTATGTTGATTTGTTTATCGCATTATGCAGTTTTGTTGCGTTCTACTCAATAGAGTAAAAATCCAACGAGAAGAAGCCACACGCGTTATCGTTTGTCTCACTTTAAATAGGAGGGACTCAGAGAAAAGGAAATCTGCCTTCTTTGTCAGCGCTGACGTTAATGGCTTCTTCTCGTTTGATTTTTACTCTAGTATCCATGATAAAATGAAGAAGTTAATCAGAATAGATAATTTGCTTTATCGAGGAAGATTTAAAAGTGCGACGCTTTCAACTGGTAGACCTGCCAAAGGGGAGAACAAGTCTAAAAAAAAGAAGCACTGTTTAGGCAAAAATTGGGGAAAAAATCGCCCCAATGCAAAAACCCATTAGAAAAAAAACAGTTAAAATCTACCAATTCCATAGGAAACTATTTATAATATTATGTATGTTGGTACTATGTGTAAATTACATATTTTCTAAAATAAATCACAATAATACCATATACCTAATAAGTTGGTTTTAATTGAATCACCTCAAAAACAAAGAGAATTACCTATTTGAGGAAGTTCTATATTCCAGTAATAAGCTCCATGCGTAGCGCAAAAATAATCATACGGCATTGCACTCTCGTTTCGGGCACCGTCCTGACATTCTACTACGTGGTTCAGCACTTCTGTTGTTGCTCTTATGCATAACGAGTATGAACATTCTACTTATGATTTGAGCACTGCTCACACATTCCACTATGCGTTTCGGCATGATATCAAAATATTATTTAAATCAGCCACCCGGTGGCATCTAGACATTCCACTATACAATTCGGCACCCGTCTCTAAGGCGATTGGCTGATTTAAAAAATCTTTTGATATGAGGCCGAAACGCATAGTGGAATGTGTGAGCAGTGCTCAAATCATGAGTGGTACTCAAACTAACCCGAACTCACCAGTTGGCCTAGGCCCTAGGGCGATCTAGTCCTTGTAATTTACCATTTTATTTGAAAAAACAGAGTAAATCTAGTTATAACGTAGCGTCCCTTGAGCGCGCTTTGTTTTTCGAATAAAATGCTAACTTTTACGAGGACCTATATCGCACTAGGCGGACGGGTTAGTTTGAGTAAGTCTGCTTTTTTTGATTATCATTAATTCAATTTCATGTGTCGCTGTTTTGTTTAGAGGTCGCCGCTTTAAATGTCGCTCTAATAATATGTCACGATTTTAAATGTCGTTTTTTTCTCACATATTGTGTCTTTTGATATATCGCTCTTTTACAATGTCGCTGTTTTAAAGTATCGCGCTTTTGAATGTCGCTCTTTTGATATATCGCTGTTGTTTTTTTAGATGTCGCTGTTTTGAATGTCGTTATTTTATTATGTCGCTGTTTTGAATGTCGCTATTTTGATATCGCTTTAACAATACGTCGCGTTTTTGATGTCGCTATTTAGAATATTGCCCTTTTGAACCGGAGCGGAGATAAATAAATCAACATAACATAACTTCCAATCAATTCTACATTCCACATCGCGATTCAGCACCGTTCGCACAATCCACTATCATATTGAGCAGCAGGTATTGGCGGCAGCTTGAAATAAATCAACTGAAGCATATGACATTGCACTCTCGTTTTGGGCACCGTTCTAACAATCTACCACGTAATTCCGCACCTTCTATAGTTGCACTCAAAATTGACCAATCAAAATTGAGGCGGGTGCCGAAATCTATAATGGAATGGCTAAGTGCCACCCGGTGCCATCGTTAGACAGAATAACTAAACTTTCTAGAATATATACATTAAAGCAGGTGACAACATACAGAGTGTCAATTTGAAAACTTCCCACCCCTATTATCTCGAAGCAGAAAAATTTTCGAATGTAATACCACAAGAGGTTTCAGGATTACCGGATAATACTTTTACCTGTCACGAAACGCGTTACGCAGCAACACCACGACTCCGAAGGAGGAGTGGTGTTGCTGGTAACGCGTTGAGTGTCAGGTAAAAGTATTAGGTAATCCTGAAACATCGAGTGGTATTCAAAAGGTTATACAACAAACTAAACTTCAATACTTTAAAATTTAAAAAAAAAATCTATAATAGAATTTGCCATAAATGCCACCAAGCGCGATAATCCCAAAAGGCTTATCACTTATTAAGCCTCTCGTGTCATATGGGAATAATGTCCAGTGAGTTGTATAATCGAAAAAATCCCTTAAACACATCAACTTTAATTTGAAGGGGATGACTTTTTATGCAAAATTCACCTTTCCCCTTTCAACACCCCAGCCCCCAGAGCCACCCCCTAGAAAATTTTAAATGGGAAAGGGGGTCAAGTGATACATCATTTTGGAGGGTTTTTAATTCCATACATTTCAGTAGGAAATTTTAATTCCTAAGCTCAACTGTTTTGGAAATATTGACAGTTGAAAATTGACTTTTTTGCAACTTTGACAAGCTGTAAAACCTAAACGGTTTATTTTAAAGGAAAACCGATTTTACACTCTTGTCTTAGATTTTCATAAACTCTCATTTGACAGCAACTTCGAATTTAATCCACGTTTAAAAATTCCGGTTGAAAATTTAATATCCGGTTAAATTTGAAAATGATGTCAAATGATAGTTTATGAAAATCTAAGATAAGAATGTACGATGGGTTTTCCTCTAAAATAAACCGTTTAGGTTTTACAGTCTGTCAAAGTAGCAAAAAAGTCAATTTTCAACTGTCAATATTTCCAAAACAGTTGAACTTAGGGACTAAAATTTAGTACCAAAATGTATGGAATTGAAAACCCTGTAAAATAATGTATCACTTAATCCCCCTTCCCATTTGAAATTTTCTAGGGGGTAGCTCTGGGGGCTGGGGGGTTGGAAGGGGGGAGGTGAATTATGCATAAAAACTCATCCCCCCTCAAATTATAGTTGACGTGTTTCAGGGATTTTTTCGAAAATTTTTCTACTTCGAGATAATAGGGGTGGGAAGTTTTCAAATTGACACCCTGTATTTAAAAAGTAAGTTCTTAAAGATATACAAGCAATAAACATCAGTATTATGAGGTACAAATTATGTTATTCATGTATAAAAATTCAGGGCAAAAATACTAAACGAATGAAGTTCACAACCCTCTATCAAAAAAGTTTACAAAGATGAAATTGAATTTTTATTTTTCTAAAATTAAGTAAAGTATGTGGAGTCATTTTACGATGATCATGGCACTCTAGTTAAAAAATTAAAATTTAATTTGGACAAAAATTGATACAAAAGTGGTGCATTAGGATGTAAAACGATCTATAGAATCCGAAAAACAAAAATTATACAGGGTGTGTCATTTAAAAATCAAAAGTTGCGGTCATTTCCGTTGAAACCGGAAGTCAGGAAAACTTGTCATAAATGCATAAAAATAGCGTTTAGTTAGAATATCAATCCTACCAAGTTTCGTTGATATCGATAGACAAATAAAAAAATGGCAGCCGGAAAGTGATTTCATGGGCACCCGGTATACAGTCCGGCGGTAAAGTAAGGAATAAATTCAATAATTATTCTTCCGAGCAATTTTATTAGAAATCCTCGAACACGGCAATTTTATTTTTTGTCGAGCATTTTTTATATAATAAAATTATTATACAGGGTGGTCGCAGAAAAGCTGGACAGGTAGTAACTTATTTTTTTTAAATGGACACCCCTAATTTTTTTTCACATTTTCGGATTATTGATAAAATTCTAAGTATTTTTCATGGAACATGTCCTATACCTACCTTCAACTGTTTCGGAAATATTGACAGTTGAAAATTGACTTTTTGCAACTTTGACAGGCTGTAAAACCTAAACGGTTAATTTTAGAGGAAAACCGATTCCACATTCCTGTCTTAGATTTTCATAAAATATCATTTGACACCAACTTATTTATCCGGAGATTAAGTTTAACTGGAAATTTTGATCATAGATTAAATTCAAAGTTGGTGTCAAATGATACTGTATAAAAACCTAAGACAGGAATGTGAAATCGGTTTTCCTTTAAAATTAACCGGTTAGGTTTTACAGCCTGTCAAAGTTGCAAAAAGTCAATTTTCAACTGTCAATATTTCCGAAACAGTTGAAAATAGGTATAGAACATGTTTCATAAAAAACACTTAGAATTTTATCAGAAATCCGAAAATGTAAAAAAATTAGGGATGTTCATTTAAAAAAATTAAGTTAGTATCTGTCCAGCTTTTGTGCGACCACTCTGTATAATAATTTTATTTTATAAAAAATGCTCGACAAAAAATAAAATTGACGTGTTCGAGGATTTTTAAAAAAATTGCTCGGAAGAATATTTATTGAATTTATTCCTTACTTTACGGCCGCACTGTACAGGGTGGGCCAAATTGGAAACTTTCTTATGGAAACACCCTTTATTTTTAGAGATAGAAAAAAATGAACCCCCCACTCTGAGGCTCAAATTTTATGAAATTTTGATTGGTGCAAACCGCATTTTGATATCTTAAACCGTTTAGCCGCTAGAGGGCGATTCTCGATTTTG